AGATTGGAGAAGAAAACTAGCAAAGGAGGTTGTCTGTTAGTCATACAATGAAAGGAGAGCCCTGCCTGGCGGTCCTGTCAGTCAGCAATTTCATAACACCATATAGTCGGACGCCCTCCGCAGGACACTTTGGAGTCACACAGCCAACCAAACATTTACAGTACTGTTACGAGTGCAATTGAACGAGCGAGTGAGAATTGCACTATTGAAGCAATCAATACAGTTGAGCGAAAAGCATGAGCGAAGTTATATAGCGAAGCTAGCGTGGTAACGGTAATGCGGGAAATTGGGGTGCGCTACGGGCCTAGCGCCGAGGTTGGGAATTGCCGAGGCGGAGGTCCGGAGCGCGGGTTACCAACCGAACCGTGAGGTTGGGTCGCATCGTGAACAGTGGCGGGAGTCGTGGTCGAGGCGAATGTCGCGAGCGGGTAACGTTCACGGATGGGTGCCGATGGCGGGAACGGGTATGTACGCGGTAAGCAGGGACGCGAAGTAAGGAAAAATAATTTCCTTACACTACCCCCCTCCCCAAGGAGGCCCCTCTTACGAGAGCGCGTGTACATCTCGAAAGTTCCGGCTACGCAGATAATCAGTCAGGACAGGGTGATTCTCAATTCTATCCAGGGGGACCCAGTTGTCTTCGGTGGGCGTGCGGTCTTTCCAGCGGATCATAAATTCGATCCTGCGGGCTCCCCGTGGGTCACGTACTCGGTGGCTCAGTATTTTTTCGGGCGTGATGATTGGCTCTGTCGGTGGTCGTGTCATGCTGGCGGGGCGGTTGCGAGGCAGTTGACTGGTGGATGGTAGATATGGGCGAAGCAGGCTGACGTGGAATGACGGGCTGACGTACCAGTCAGCAGGGAGGAGGAGGTGGGCGGTGACGGGTGTGATCATGTGGCTGATGCGAAATGGCCCGCAATATCGGGGGCGGAGTTTTGGGGTAATGGGCAGGCGGAGATTTTGAGTGTCGAGTAATACCAGGTCGTCTGGTTGGTAAGTGACGGGGCGGCGGTGTCGGTCGGCGTTGCGCTTAGTGATGACGTTTGATTTTTTATTGCTTCTGCTGCTCGGGTTCGTGCTGCTTGTAGTATTTCTGCGAACTGTTGCGCGCGTGGGACTGGGTTGTCGGGATTCGGGGTCATGGTTACTGTGGGATCTTGTCCGTAGTTCAGGAAAAACGGTGACTGTTGGGTCGTGGCAGATGGCGAGTTGTTGTACGCGAACTCGATGAGTGGCAGTTCCTGTTCCCACGTGGTCGGGTCGTCGCACGTGGCTCGGATGAGCTGTTCCATGGTCTGATTTGTCCGTTCTGTCTGTCCGTCGGTTTCGGGGTGGTATGATGAACTGAACTGTAGTCGCGTGCCGAACTGCTGCCACAGGTTCCGCCAGAAGTTGCTGGTGAACTTCGTGTCTCGATCGCTGATAATTGATGCTGGTATCCCGTGTAGTCGAACGACGGTGGAGATGAAGAGGCGGGCTGTTTCTTCGGCTGTGATTGATTTCTTGCAGGCTGCGAAGTGTGCCATCTTCGTCAGCCGATCGACGACGACCAGGATCGCGTCGTTCCCACTTGCTCCAGCCGGTAACCCCGTGACGAAATCCATCGTCACCTGCTGCCAAGCACGCTCTGGGGATGGTATCGGCTGCAACTGTCCTGCCGGTCGTTGTCGTGACGACTTCATGAGCTGGCAGGTGGGACACGATGCCACGTGTCGTTGCACGTCGGTCAGCATCTCGGGCCAGTAGTAATACCGCTGCAGCTGCTGCCGTGTCTTCTCTACTCCGAAATGTCCTGAGGTAACCCCGTCGTGTGCCTCCTGTAGTAATAGCTCCCTTAGTAAAGTGTAGCCCGGTACCCAGATGCGGTCGGTGCCGGCTTTTACGTAATAAACCCCTTTTGCTGCTGCGAACTGCTGCGAGTTTCCCCCTGTGAAGAACGGGTCTGTCTGGTATCCGTGGGTGAATAGGCCTGTCAGTAGTGGGCTGGTCTGGGCAAGTAGTATCGCGTGGATTTGGGCAGTAGGGCGGGTCAGTGCGTCGGCAATGTTCGATGCTCCCTTTTTATAGGTGACCGTGTAGTGGAAGTTTGACTCGAGAAAATCGAGACAGCGGATCTGTCGTAGGTTGAGGTGGGATTGTGCGCGGAGGTACTGTAGTGATCTGTGGTCTGTCCGTACTGTCACGTCTGCGCCGGTCAAATGACAGCGCCAGACCTTGAATGCATGTACGATCGCGAGCATTTCGCGGTCGTGTATCGGGTAATTCTTCTCGGGCGGATGCAGTTTTCGTGACTCGTATGCGATGGGCTGTAAACCGTTGCCGAAATTTTGTAGCAGTACGGCTCCAATGGCGATATCGCTTGCGTCTGTAACTACTTCGAATGGGCGGTGTGGGTCGGCGATGCGCAGTACGGAAGGTGAACAGAGAACATTTTTCAGGGCAGAGAAGGCAGCATGCTCTTTCTCCCCCCACGTAAAAGCGACCCCCTTCCGCAGTAGATCCGTCAGCGGGGCAGTTAACCGTGCCATGTCGGGGACGAACCGACGCACATAATTAACGAACCCCAAAAAACTCTGCAGCTCCGTGATTTTCGTCGGGGGGTGCCACGCTTTGACCGTGTCCAGCTTCTTCGGGTCGATCTCAACTCCAGCCTCCGAAATAACGTGCCCCAAAAAATCTAACCTATCCTGGAAGAACTCGCACTTGGAACCCTTGGTCAGTAGTCTGTGCTCGTCTAAAACTTTAAACACTGCTTCCAGATCTGCTAAGTGCTGTTGCTTATCACGACTGTAGACTAGGATGTCGTCGAGGTAAACTATCACGCATTTATCTAAAAGTGGCCTAAACGCCTCGTTCATGGTCATCTGAAATGTCGCCGGTGCGTTGGTCAGCCCGAATGGCATCACGGTGTACTCGAATGACCCGTACCTAGTCCGAAATGCCGTTTTTACGCAGTCCGATGGTTCGACCCGGATCTGGTGGTAACCTCCCCGTAAATCAATTTTCGAAAAGGCCCGTGCTGTTCGCAGCTGATCTATCAGTTCGTCGGCGCGGGGAATGGGGTATCGCGACTTGACTGTAACCCTGTTCAGTGCTCTGTAGTCGATGCACATGCGCAAACCTCCGTCCTTTTTCGGTGTGAACAGTATCGGTGCGGCGAACGGTGATGAACTCGGTCGGATAAATTTCTTCTCCAGTAGGTAATCTAACTGCTTCCTCAGTTCGTCGAGCTCGGGCTGTGTCAGTCTGAACTGTCGCTGTACGGTTGGCTGTGCCCCGGGTTCTAACTCTATTCGGTGGTCGTGTGCTCGCTGAGGTGGCAGTCCTTCCGGTAAGTCGTCGGGAAAAATCCCCGGGTACCGTTTCAACAGTTCCTGTAGTTCGGGCGGTACCGCTGCTAACAGATTCTTGAAATCGCTGGGCTGTTCTGCTTCTTCTACCACTGCGATGTCCACTGCGTACACGTCAGCTCCAGCGGCGACTGCCCGTTTCATTGTGATAGCATTGACGTGGACCGTTGAAGACTCAGGCGACAACCCAGTTACCGCTACTTCGCACAGTGCAGCTACCTGTCGTCCATTCGATTCGCGGGTTATATCGTCGCAGCCAATCACGTCCCAGTAAAATGTCGTGCCCATCCAATGTCGTCGCGAGCATTTCCTGTGTAAACCCAAAATTCCCCCCGCAGCGGACCTTTACTCTCTCCACCTTCTCCCGTATGGCCAACGGCGTTCCGTCCACTAAGTGTCAGAACATTATAGCTTATGCTGTTGTGTAGGCTATAGTGGGGTATCCCATAGGGGGTACAACCAATTAGGGTTTCATATTTGTACTCACTTCATTTCATAGTTCATTCATTCTCGTTCTCATTCTCTCATGGAATCAGAGCAGGTCCCCTCCTAGGGACTGTTCCTTGGGCCCACCGAAGCGCGCCTCGAGTCGCGCCTGCCTTTTTTTTTTAGCGGCCCGTCGAGTCGCACCTAGCGGCCCGTCGCGCCGCCCTTACGGTCGCGTCGAGCCGCCCTAGCGGCTGCGACGCGCCGCCCTTTTCCCGGCCCGTCGCCGCCCTTACCCGCGGCTTTGCGCCGCCCTCACCGGCGGCTTCGCGCCGCCCCTACCTGCGGCTTCGCGCCGCCCAGGCCCGTCGCCGCCCTTCTCGCGGCTTCGCGCCGCCTCTACCTGCGGCTTCGAGCCGCCCCGGCCCGTCGCCGCCCTTACCTGCGGCTTCGCGCCGCCTACGGCCCGTCGCCGCCCTTTTCTGCGGCCCCGCCGCCTCTCTCGTTGCGGCCCCGCCGCCCGTCTTCGCGGCCCCGCCGCCATCTCTCGCTGCGGCCCCGCCGCCACTCACTGCGGCCCCGCCACCCGTCTCAGCGGCCCCGCCGCCCGTCTTCGCGGCCCCGCCGCCTCTCTCGCTGCGGCCCCGCCGCCTCTCACTGCGGCCCCGCCGCCCTACTCAGCGGCCCCGCCGCCCGAATTCGCGGCCCCGCCGCTTCTCTCGCTGCGGCCCCGCCGCCTCTCTCGTTGCGGCCCCGCCGCCCTTCACTGCGGCCCCGCCGCTTCTCTGCAGCGGCCCCGCCGTCCTTCTGCAGCGGCCCCGCCACTCCTCTACAGCGGCCCAGCCGCCCTACGTCAGCGGCCCAGCCGAGCCGCCCAACAGCAGCGCAGCCGAGCCGCCCAGCAGCAGAGCAGCCGAGCCGCCCCGCCGCCGAGCCGCGCTGCAGCCGAGCCGCCCGGCCGCCCACCAGCCGAGCCGCCGTGCAGCCGACCGCCCAGCGGCCGAGCCGCCCAGCTGCCGAGCCGCCCAGCCGCCGAGCCGCCCAGCCGCCGAGCCGCCCTGCAGCCGAGCCGCCCGAGCAGCCCTGTCCGGTGAGCACAGACCCTCTGTCACTGCGTGCTCTTCCCCTACTCCTTGCACTGCTGGTCTACTGCTGTCATGGCTACCCCTAGTGTCCTCACTTTTGACGCTGAGGGTCGGGCCATTGACTTTGAGGTCTGGGTAGATGACCTACAGCTGTTCTTACAGTGCGATAGGGCGGACGGCCTCTCTCTCTTTGACCTCACCTCTGGCGCTTCCCCTGCCCCTGCTGCTGATGCTGACGCCACTGTTCGCTCCCAGTGGGCCACGCGCGATGCTGCTGCACGTCTTGCTGTGCGTCGCCACCTCCCTACCTCCGAACGTGCGCACTTTAGTCAGTACAAGAGTGCTCAGACCTTGTACGCCGCTGTAGTCGCGCGCTACTCCTCCCCTTCCACTGCTGCACTGAGCCGTCTCATGCTGCCGTACCTCTTCCCTGACCTTGCTTCCTTTCCCACCGTTGCTGACCTCATTACGCACCTCCGCACTAGTGACACTCGCTACCGCGCTGCACTTCCTGCTGACTTCTGCACCGCGAACCCCCCCCCCATGTACATCACTCTGTACTTCCTAGTCACTCGCCTCCCTGACTCCCTTCGAGTAGTCAGGGACCACTTTCTCTCAGTCTGTCCCACCACACTCACTGTAGACCTCCTCGAGAAGGCCCTCCTCGCGATAGAAAAGAGCATAGTCGCTGTAGGAGCCTCTCGAGGTGACCCGCGCACCCCCATCTTTGAGGGGTGTTCTCCCTCCCCCCTGCTGCCCTCTGTTGCCTCTGCTGCTTCGGCCGACCTCCTTGGTCTTGAGTCGGTCGGTGCGGCGTCTGCCCCTAGCGGGAGACGCCGCCCTGGCAAGGGCAAGGGGGGCAAGGGAGCTGGAGGAGCGGGCGGTGGAGGTGGAGGTGGAGGCAGTGTGGGGAGTGGGGGTAGCGGTGGAGGTGGAGGTGGGGGTGGGGGGTTCGGTGGCGGCAGTGGAGGCGGAGGCCGCGGCGGCGGTGGCAGTGGTAGCGGAGGTGGCGGAGGAGGCGGCGGTGGAGGAGGCGGTGGAGGCGGCGGCGGCAGTGGAGGCAGCGGAGGCGGTGGAGGCGGTGGGGGTGGCGGTGGAGCTGGTCGCGGGTCTTTGCAGAGGAGTGGCTCCGGTGGTGGCTCGCGCCAGCAGCAGCAGCGTGGTCGTGCGACCCTGTCCCCTCAGCAGCTCCGTGAGTGGTACACTGCACGCCAGCGGGGTGGGGGTTTTGGTCCGTGTACCTACGTCCTGCGCACCGGCGACCGTGCGGGTGAGCAGTGTGGGGGTGCGCACCCCACTCCGCGCTGCTTTGGCCGCCTGACGGACGCATGGCGTCACCAGTTCCCGGAGGCCTCCGAGATCCCTCGCTGGGACGAGCTGTCTAGGGCGGGGGTTGCCATATTTGATCTGGACTTTGATGCTATTCTCTCTGCCATGTATGCTGTGTCTATTAGTGATGAGGGTGACTGTTACCGGTGTTTCCAGCCCGATCCGGGCATTGAGACTGCTGCTCTAGGTACTGGTGAGGCTGCTGCCCTAGGTGCTTACGACGCTGCTGCTCTAGGTGCTGGTGTGTCTGCGTCCTCAGGTACTGGTGAGTCTGCTCTCTCAGGTACCGCGTCGGCTTCGGCCTCCCTCACCTTCACTCTTGACTCTGGGGCGTCTCGCTCCTTCTTTCGGGACCGCACCACACTCACGCCGCTTAGTCGGCCGGTTGCGGTGACTCTGGCTGACCCCTCTGGGGGTCCGGTCCTGTCTCGTTTCTCCACAGTCCTCCCGTGTCCGGCGGCTCCCTCTGGCACCCTGTCTGGTCTCTACCTCCCCTCGTTCTCGACGAACCTGGTGAGTGGTGCTGACCTACAGGATGCGGGTGTCCACCAGTTCACTCCTGCACGTCAGCGAGTGACCCACTGTACAGAGGCTGGCACAGGCCGACACCTGGCTACGTTCACCCGTCAGCCGGGGTCGAGCCTGTACACTCTGACCACTGCGTCTCCTCCAGTTGCTGAGTCTGGTAGGGTAGTTACGTCGGGTCAGGTGTTTGCTGCGGCGTCCAGGTCTGGTCCTGAGTCTGCCCCCTGTTCGTGTCGTCTCCTGTCTCACGAGACTCTCCTCTGGCACCACCGCCTTGGCCACCCCTCTCTGCTTCGGCTCAGAGGTATGGCCTCCCGTCTTCTTGTGTCCGGTCTCCCCCGGTCCCTCCCTCCCCTTCCTCAGGGCCCTGGCCCTGCCTGTGTCCCCTGTGTCGAGGGGCGCCAGCGTGCTGCCCCTCACTCCTCCCAGTTTCCTTCGACAGAGGCCCCGTTGCAGACACTTCACATGGACGTGTGGGGCCCAGCCCGCGTCCGTGGACAGGGTCACGAGCGCTACTTCCTGCTCGTTGTTGACGACTACTCGCGTTACACCACAGTCTTCCCCTTGCGCAGCAAGGGTGATGTCACTGAGGTACTGATCGACTGGATCCGCGCAGCTCGTCTCCAGCTCAGGCAGAGCTTCGGCTCGGACTTTCCTGTTCTGCGTCTGCACTCGGACAGAGGCGGAGAGTTCTCCTCTGGCCTTCTGCGTGCCTACTGTCGTGCACGGGGTATCCGTCAGACCTTCACGCTTCCGGACTCACCGCAGCAAAATGGGATTGCTGAGCGCCGCATTGGCATGGTCATGGACGTCGCTCGTACGTCTATGATGCATGCGGCTGCCCCCCATTTTCTGTGGCCGTTTGCGGTGAGGTACGCGGCGCATCAGATCAACCTCCACCCCAGGGTCTCCAGGCCGGAGACCTCCCCAGCCTTGCTGTGGACGGGGAAGGTTGGCGATGCGTCGGCGTTCCGGGTCTGGGGATCTCGGGCGTTTGTCCGCGACCTGTCTGCGGACAAACTATCCCCTCGTGCTGCTCCTTGCGTCTTCCTGGGGTTCCCCCCTGACGCGCCTGGGTGGCAGTTTTACCACCCCACCTCTCGCCGTGTTCTGTCCTCCCAGGACGTCACGTTTGACGAGTCGGTCCCCTACTACCGCCTCTTCCCCTACCGCACTCCGTCCCTCCCCCCACCCCCACTCTTCCTGGTACCAGGTCCCCCCCAGGTAGACCCCCTCCCCCCTCAGGGTCCTGCCCCATCAGGTGTGTCCCAGGTAGACGCAGTCGAGCCTGTCGAGGTCACTGGTGACTCTGGTGCTGCTGAGGGTGCTGAGGCTGGGGGTGCTGTACCTGGGGGTGCGGAGCCTAGGGGTGCTGGGCCTGGGGGTGCTACGTCTGGGGGTGCTGAGCCTAGGGGTGCTGAGCCTAGGGGTGCTGAGCCTGGGGGTGCTGAGCCTAGGGGTGCTGAGCCTGGGGGTGCTGAGCCTTGGGGTGCTGAGCCTGGGGGTGCTGAGCCTAGGGGTGCTACGTCTGGGGGTGCTGAGCCTAGGGGTACTACGCCTGGGGGTGCTGAGCCTGGAGGTGCTCCGCCTGGAGGTTCTCCGAGTGCTTCGTCTCGCCGGGAGCCACTTTCTCCACAGGAGCTGCGTGAGTGGTTTGCCCGGCGCTGGAGGCGTGCTGCTGGTGCTGGAGGTCCTTCGGCTGCTGAGGGTGCTGCGGTCGCGGGTCCCGGAGGTGCTCGTCCTGGGTGCACTGGAGCTGGTGCTGCTGAGGGTGTTGGCGCTGAGACTACCGCTGGCAGTCCTACTGGGGGTGCTCCTGGTGCTGCTGGAGGTTCTGGAGCTACTGGTGGTGCTGCTGGAGCGGGTGCTCCTGCTGAGGGTTCTGGTGCTGTCCCTGCTGCTTCTAGCGTCGCCGCGCAGCCTCGACCGTACTTCGTTCCACTCCTGCAGCAGGTTCTTGGTCTTCCACCTTCTACTGGTCCTCCTCCTCCCTTAGAGTGTCCACAGCCTGTCTCGTCCCAGCTACAGTTGCAGCCTACCTCCCCTTTGCCTGCTCCTTCTCCCTACACTGGTCCTACTGGAGGTCTGGCTGAGCGTCGTGAGCCTGCGTCTCGCCCTGCGTCGCCTGACCGTGCTGCTCGCACTAGTGGTCGCGGTTCGCGTCAGCGTCCTCCTCCTGTCCCTGGCACGCACCGGATGTCTCTGCGTCCGTCCACTGCTCCTCTGCGTGCCCCTTTGCCTTCTCCTCCTGAGTCCTCTCTTCCTGCTCTTGCCGACCCGGAGTCGGACTCTCTTCGTGCTGCCAGTCCTACTGTCACGCGTCTCCTTGCTACTGTTGTCACTGACCCTTCTTTCGAGTCTACTGCTGCGTCTGCTCTCGTTACTGAGCTCGTCGACTTTGCTGCTCGCTGTCGCTTAGACTACGCTGCTAGTCTTGTCGCTGAGTCTGAGTCTGTCTGTCCTCCGTCCGTCGGGGGTGAGTGTGCCCTTGGCACGGACGTCCTTGAGGACAGGCAGGAGGAGTTCCAGTGTCTGGCAGCTGCCTCACCTCATCTCGTGTCCGTACTGCTTACCCCTGAGGGAGACCCGGATGCACTTGACATCCCGACTCCGCGCTCTTACGCGGAGGCGATAGAGGGTCCCTACTCCTCTCAGTGGCAGGCAGCTATGGATGCAGAGATGGCTTCCTGGAAGTCCACAGGCACCTACGTTGACGCTGTCCCCCCTCCTGGGGCGAACATCGTCAGTGGCATGTGGATCTTCAGGGTGAAGCGGCCGCCGGGTTCTCCGCCTGTCTTCAAGGCGCGTTACGTGGCTCGTGGCTTCAGTCAGCGGCAGGGAGTTGACTACTTTCAGACCTTCTCCCCCACCCCGAAGATGACCACTCTTCGGGTACTGCTGCACGTTGCTGCTCACCGTGACTACGAGCTGCACTCTCTTGACTTCAGCACAGCTTTCTTGCAGGGCAGCCTGCACGAGGAGATCTGGCTGCGTCGCCCACCTGGCTTCACTGGGTCTTTCCCTCCTGGTACCCAGTGGAGTCTCCGGCGTCCAGTCTACGGTCTCCGCCAGGCGCCACGTGAGTGGCACGACACACTGAAGACTACGCTTGCGGCTCTTGGGTTTGCTCCTTCTACTGCAGACCCGTCGCTGTTTCTACGCACCGACACCTCTCTGCCGCCGTTCTACATCCTCGTGTACGTCGACGACTTGGTCTTTGCCACAGCTGACACTGCTGGACTCGCCTACGTGAAGTCCGAGCTGCAGAAGAGACACACGTGCACAGACCTGGGTGAACTGCGCAGCTACCTTGGCTTGCAGATCACCCGGGACAGAGCACGCCGCACCATTACCCTGACTCAGTCACACATGGTGCAGCAGGTCCTTCAGCGCTTCGGCTTCACGTACTCCTCGCCTCAGGCCACTCCTCTGTCTACTCGCCACTCGCTCTCAGCTCTGCCTTCGGATGAGTCCGTAGAGTCGAGTGGCCCGTACCCAGAGCTTGTTGGCTGCCTCATGTACCTGATGACCTGCACACGACCTGACCTTGCATACCCTCTTAGCATTCTTGCACGCTATGTTGCTCCTGGGAGACACAGACCAGAGCACATGGCTGCAGCGAAGAGGGTGTTGCGCTACTTGTGCAGTACGTCGGGCATGGGGCTAGTGCTTGGAGGGCGGAGTCCAGTGGTCCTCACTGGGCACGCGGACGCTTCTTGGGCTGACGACCAGGCTACGCAGCGGTCGTCACAGGGTTACACCTTCAGCCTTGGTTCCGGCTCTGTTTCGTGGCGGGCTACTCACTCGTCTTCTGTTCTTGGCTCGAGTTGTGAGGCTGAGATCTACGCCGGGGCCATGGCTGCACAGGAGCTTCGCTGGCTCACCTACCTGCTGACCGACCTTGGAGAGCCGCCTCGTTCTCCTCCAGTCCTGTACGTAGACAACA